TAAGAAATGTTCACTTATTTCTAGATCGTTTTTCCAGTGCAAGGTTTTCTGTAGGTGTAAACAAGATGTACCAGTTTGGTTAAAACAAAACCAATCAAAACTTCAGACTGTAGAAGCTCTGTCTGCATCTCCACAGGATGTTCTGCCTGTCTATGCAGTCTTTTATCATATATTAGACCATATTGTTTTGTTCTCTCTGTTTAAAGACTTTGCTGGACTAAGATCCCGATTCAGATAACAATACTTTTTTTTCAGTTTGGTGACCTTGGTGTTTACCTTGTCAGTGAGCTTTAAAATGTTGCTATGCTTTTTTACCCTCCCTGTTCTTGTCATCTGTAGATTAAAAGATCTTGATAATGTTGTAGCCAAGATAATATGATGCACATTGGGTAAGTAACATTCAGTAACCAAGTCAGATTTCCTGTAGGAACTTTTCTTTTCTGAATTATTATAAGGATACTAGACCTTTTTACGCACAAATCTATTTAGAAATGACTAATCATGCCAAATAATTAGATCATATTAAGTTTCCCTTTGAGGTTTTCAAAAGGCTTGGAAATACTATTCAATAATAGCATTCCCAAGTACTATCGTAGATCTAGATCTAGATCATGCAGTCACAGTACTCTCAATCTACTAACTGGAAAAGCTGATGTAGTTCTACTTAATAGCTTATTTAATTAAGATCTCCTAGATATTTGCCAGATATTTAATTACATTTTTCTTGATTAAAATTATTTTTATGTTTTTAGATAATTTAGAATTAACAGTCTAGGTTTAAATTGTTCAATATGAGATTCTTAACAAAGAGAGATTTTTGTTCTACTCTCTTCATACATTTCTCTATCATTTGGTGAAATAATAAACTATATTAGTTGGGTCATCCATATTATCAGTCCACAAGCTTATTTCCTTTTGTTTTCCTGTCCTACACATAAAGGGCTGAGATAAAAATTTGGAGTCATCAAGAGAAATGGTTCCATTATCATATGGAGACGATTGTATGAACTCAGAGGAACTGCAGCTTAGCTTTAAAAAAAAAAAAAAAAAGGATCGAACTAATGATCTTTTAACAACTAAAGGTCAAGCTCTAAGTTATCATGAATTATAAATCCTGTCTGTGGTCAATATAGTTGGATCAGAATTATGTTTTTATTTTTTGAAATAAATACAGGTGTAACAAATTACAGTATTTTTTTAAGTTGATCCAAGGTATCTTTTTTTTCAGTGTATGTCAGCAAAGGTAATTGCCTTTGGCTGCATTTGAATACGGAAAACTGGCTTTTTTTTTGCTATTGGAGCAATGGCTTCTTCCTCTATGATAGGCTTTTCAGGCCATGTTATTACATTTCTGTGTACAGGCAGCCTTTTCTCAAAAAAACAATTATCTCTGAGTTACAGAATCCCCTTCAATCCTAGTCAGTGTGGTGACTTGGCATTTGTTTATTTAAAATTCTTGTGTATAATTGTTAGAACCGAAGAACCCATAGATTTTTTGTTTTTTTACCTTAAATGCCTGTTTTAATGTCAGACATTGGGAAAAGGCCATTTCTGCATAAAAATGTGGTTTACATGCAGGGATTGAAATGTGGTTTAAAGGAAATATAAAAAAGTGGAAAACTGTATTGACTTGCTTATCATTTTCTCAACTATCTTAACCCTGAGAAATCCCAAGACTATGGAGGTCTTACCTGTGTCTGCAGTGCTGGGGTGAAACAGCGTGTTTGTGTAGGTGACAAACTGCAGCTGTCGGTTCATGTTCGGTAACAAACTGCTAGACAGCATCATATGCATCTCTCCATCACCTTTTATTTTCACTCCCTCCACTTCTGCTGCTACATTTAGTGTTCCTAGATTGGCAGTGATGTTTATCTGCAGCATGGTGGAAAATAAAACACAAAGTGAGAGAATTCCCCAAAATTGGAAGGCAAAAAAAAAAGAAAAGAAAGAAAAAGAGCACAATACTCACAGTGTAATGGTTTCTGGGAACGTCATGTAAGGCCAAACCTGAAAAAAAGAAAACAGAAAATTTTTTAATTGTTAAAGATGATATGTAGAAGGAAGCACTTCTTCAAAACAACTACAAATGCTGGTGTGGGAAATTTCTCAATCAAATGTGATTATTTCACTAAAATAAACTGTAAAAAAAAAAAACAAAAAAAAAAACACACAACTTTTTAATGGATTAATGATTACATTTTTGTGTTAGAAACGAAACAAGAGAGTCAAGCAAAGGTCAGCTTTGTTGATTTCTTTGTATTTCTGCAGGATGGAGGCCTGGCCAACAGATTTGTTCCAAATTCACACATATCTAATGGAAATCATGCAACATATTGATCAACAGAGACAGTTGAGGTGTCATTACATCCTGTTTTACACTGTCCAGCCAATTTAGTTTCCCCAAAGAGGACCAGAAAATCAATCTGGAAAGCCAAGCTAATAATGTGTGGAACACATTTCAGTCTGGGCCTGCATGGGAAAAGGGCCCAGACTGGTGATTGGGCCCACCTGCACTTCAGTTCAAAAGTTTGGGGTCACATTGAAATGTCCTTATTTTAAAGGAAAAGCACTGTACTTTTCAATGAAGATAACTTTAAACTAGTCTTAACTTTAAAGAAATACACTCTATACATTGCTAATGTGGTAAATGACTATTCTAGCTGCGATGTCTGGTTTTTGGTGCAATATTTACATAGGTGTATAGAGGCCCATTGCCAGCAACTATTACTTCATTGTTCTAATGGTACAGTGTGTTTGCTCATTGGCTCAGAAGGCTAATTGATTATTAGAAAACCCTTGTGCAATTATGTTCACACATCTGAAAACACTTTAGTTTGTTACAGAAGTTACAAAACTGGCCTTCCTTTGAGCAGATTGAGTTTCTGGAGCATCATATTTGTGGGGTCTATTAAACGCTCGAAATGGCCAGAAAGAGAGAACTTTCATCTGAAACTCGACAGTTTATTCTTGTTCTTAGAAATGAAGGCTATTTTGGCGTTTACTCTTCTACTCTTTTTAATAGGTTCTCCATGTTCTTGGACTTGTGCTCACAAGTGCATTTCTATTTTGGATTACTACAGCTGCCCCTGTTTTGAGTTTTTGAGCTCCCATTTAAAAAAACTAGACTAAACTAAAGACTAGACTAAACCTCATTCAAATAATAAATGAGAGTCTACAATTCTTGAACCCAAATGCAAATACATGAGCAATGAAACAAGTACCTGGGATAATGATAGTTTTCAGGGGCCGAACTTCCAGGCCCTGTGTTGGATACTGTAGTGGATTGTTGGCCTCTGCGATGATGAGTATGTCTGCTGCAGTTTTGGACCTGATAAGAAATGTTTGGGTCAGGAGGGCTTAAACCAAGTATACAATCTACAAACCAACTAATTAAAAGAATGGACAGACACAGTGCTTGAGTTGGTTTAGCTTATTCTTTAAAGTAGTGATAACAGTATTGTTGGTACAGAACAATACAGCCCTTGAGCTGTTGAGCTCTCTACAATTTCCAATGTTTGATATGTTAAAAAAAGGATTATGATCTGAAAATCAAAGTAGTGCAGCAGTTTACTTGTCCCTAGTTTTACTCAAAATAAAAGCTCACTGAAATTCATAGAGTTATCAAATTTTCCAAAAACAGCAGCAGAAGTTTTGTACTTCTGACAACTGACATAATGTACACTGTAAATACATACAGTGTTAAATATGTAATGTCAAAGTACATTGACTCTTTTAGAGTTATTCCAATAACAACTGGATTAAGATATACACTACATAGAGTTCTAAAACAAATGTTTTTTAAACATGCAATCCCTCTTTTCAGGAATGATTTCCAGAAAGATCTGAAAATGTCAGAACATTTAACAGTGAAAGCTTGTTTTAATTATAATGGATCAAGACATCAGTTCCCTCACCCAGTGTGATTGTTTCTGATGCTCTGCTGTGTAGTAGCAAAGGGTTTGGCTGACCACTTGCTTTTAGTAAATATATGTATATTTGCACAACACATCTCTGCATGCTATCCTGACACAGAAAGTGAGAATGAACTAATAATTCAATTGTTATTATGAGTCCCAGGATGAGGTATTACTTCCTTATTTACCTCTCCTGGAAGCTTCTATACTCTTTAGCCCGTCTCATCTTCATTTCCTCCAGCTCAGAGGCATCAAAGGCAGTGTGCAGAGGGTGTGCTGACACCCGCGGGAACAGGAGCTGGGAGAACGGCAGGTTCACTCCAGGAGTCTCACCCTCACAAACGCATCCATTACGTGCCAGCAAGCTGAACATTTAGAGACACGTGTAGTTAGAGCTTAATTTATACATAGGGTGAAATACATTTCTCATTTAGGACATAGAGGCCTTACCTTGCCACACTTTCCCTTACACGATAGGGAATGCTGCTTAACTGGTGGTCTGGTTCTGGAAGCCTCTCCTCCAGATGTCTTTCCACTGTTGGACCCAGCCGCTGCCACACATCCACTGTGTTGTACGACCGAGTGGGCCATGAGTGTAGAAGAGCCAGTACAACCACCACAGACACCAGAATGGCGAGCAGCGCTGTCTTCCTCAGGGACCGCATAGTATAACCTGTCTGATAAGTATGTATAAGTATGATTTTCAGTTTTTTTTTAATTGTCAAGCACACTTCATATTTGACTCGAAGACTTGGCTTATAAAAGAAACCAAAAAACAAAAACAGAAACAATCAGCAAAAGGAAGGAAGCAGTGTACTGCAGATGCTGTGAACTATCATGATCAACTGTTAGACGGAAGTGAATGTACTGTAATGTGTAGCTTTTTAAAATCAATTACGGCTTAATCAATTATTCGGATTAATTGATTTTTGAAATAATTGTAAACTAATTTATCTTTAACTGTAGTATAGAGACTGTAGTATATGACTTTAGCTGACAGAGCAACCCACTACCAGATAATTACTACCAGAGCAGGTTTAAACAACAATAATAAAAAAATAAAATAAAAAAACTTTCACCTGTTAATATGCTCTATCCAGAACTCCTTAAGAGTTAAAATTTTAGTTTCATATGGTTTAATTTTTTTGTCTTCTTTAAGGAACCTTTGGCTAGCTTATCAATCAGTTAATAAAAAACAAATATGAACAGATTAATGGATTTGCAAAATAATCTTTAGTTGGAGCCCTAAAACAAATGCAGCCTTCATCATCTCACCATCCAAAATGGTTTTACAAACAGAAAGCAAAACCTGGACCCCTGATTGCCTTGCATTGTTTCTTGGCATAATGTACTGGCTGATAATGGTCATGAGGCAGGAAACACCCTGAAAAGACTGACAGTCCATCAATCAATGGGACCAAAAAATACACACAAGGAACAGATGCCCAGGCCACCTCAGCTGGCTCCTTTCGACGATGAGGAATAAAGACTCTACTCTGAGCTCCTCCCGGGTAACTGAGCTCCTCACCCAATGTTAAGTTTTTAATTGAAGCAGTGTTTCACATTCTATTTTGTTAATTGGTGTTGTTGTCTTTCCTGTAAAGCACTTTGGTGCAGTTTTATACCTGTTTTTAAAGTGCTATATAAATAAATTTGACATTGACAAACACAAACTACTTGCTTCTTTCCGTAAAAATTCAAAAAATATCCACTGGACTTGATTTCCAAGATTTGACGACGTTTCGCCGCCTCTCCAGGAAGCTTTCTCAATTCAAATGTCTGGATCCGCAATTGAGAATTGAGAAAGCTTCCTGGAGAGGTGGTGAAACGTCTTCAAATCTTGGAAACCAATTCCAGTGGATATTTTTTGAATTTTTACGGAATGACTATGACCTGGATGACTGAGAACCTTCATCAGCACTTGCTTCTTTATTTAAATTGTAAGTTTAGGAGTCTTTTGATCACTTCAGTCAATGCTTCATGAAGAGGAAAAACAAACACATCTATAAGTCACACTGAGCTATAAGTCACATGTATTCACGTGACTTATCCATGGACTGCTTTCTGTTGTTCTGGCTATATTTCTATCAGCCAACAGCTTTCTTTGTTTGTTTTCTTTATTCCAGAAAAAGTGTGCTCTTCTTTCTGCCAGTCACTCACAAGTTTCTCTCACGATTTAATTTTTTCTTTCTCCTGCTGCTTGATTATTATTAACTGCTCATGCTGTATTATTATCTAGTTTGTAATCTGCTGGATCTGATTTTCTTTTTGAAAACAAAAAAAAACTTTTGCTCAAGAGTCTGTCCTGCGCCAAAATAAGGGAGGCATTGCTGAAAAAGCCAGAGAAATACTTGGAGATTATATTATTATTTAAACTAAATTGAAAATCTTAATTTCAACATAATGGTTTAAATCACTTTTAAGCTAGTAAATGTGAAAACTAAATATCCGTGGTCATTTGTCTTAATCTCATTCTCACATTTGTATGATGTTTTGAATATGTTTACAGCAACATTAACATTCTTTGAGAAATGACAGAATTTCTGTAACACACTGACATTTCAAATGTAGGATATGTTGTTTTCCTTCTACGGAAAATTATAAAACTGAACAGGCAGACATAGACACATAATCACTTATTTTGTTAGCTTATTTTGTTAGTTCTGCTGCATGCCACTGTATCAGGAGTTTCTTATAAGCCGAATAGGCAGCTGAGTGTTGGACTCACTTATCAACAGGCCTTCTCTAATTGAGAAATAGTACATATTGTAACTAAAACAGTAGATATTGTAGTTACTAAGCCATTAGTTGTTGCCTTGTGACCAAGTTCTAAAAATCAGAGTTGTAGTTTCTTAAGCAGTGGCGTAGGAATAGGGGGGGCAAGGGGGGCAATTCCCCCTCACTTTTTGGGGGGCAAAAAGTATGTTTTGCCCCCCCACTTTTAAGATAAAATTTGATTTTAGCTTTTTCCATTATTATGATAAATACAACAATAAGAAAGCTATCAATATCAACAAGAAGTATTTGGCTACCTAATAAATCGATAGTGTTACTGTCATTGAATTCAGTTATTATTATTAATTAATTTCTTTTCTCTTAATTACTTTTTTAATTACTTGAAGTCTCCTGGTTATTTCATTATCTTTTTAATGTTCAAATTCATTATTATTACCGTATTTTCACGACCATAAGGCGCACCGTACTAAAAGGCGCAGTCTCAGTTATGTGTCCCATTTCTGTA